TATACTAAGTAGTTCCAGCGTTGACCGCTCGATAGCGCCGCTTACCCGCGCTAGAAAAAATCAGTCCGGGAACTTTCCGGACAAACTGTGTATACACCAGAGGTTCTTTGTAATTTATTCTATTTCTTAATATTTGTGGTATCTCTCTTTTATGATATCTCTTTTTAAATCTACATAAACTTAGCGTTACTGTGATAATTTTGAATTTTCGGAGTTACACCGAAGTCACACTTTGTCAATAATATTTATTGCGTATTTTCAACTCGCGACGATTATTAGAAATAAAATAGTTAAGATTTTAGAATTATTATGTATGTATTTGGCATCGGCAGCCAAATACGCTAACAGACTTGTTTATAGGAAATGTTATGCGCGGTTAAATTTATATCGCGTACAATCATCTAAAATTACACCGGATCATCGTCTCCGGATAGACGATCGGCGCTGCACCAATTTCGCAACAGGCCGCATTTGCATCCCCGCGATAATCTGCAATTCAAAGTGTCGACCGCAATCGCATCTTCTTCTTCTTCTTCTTCTTGTTTGTCATAAAAATAAACGAGTTTCTCCTAGACAGAAACGACTTTCTTTCGCGTATTCCCACACAAACGGAGTGTTCACCTCCGCCATTAACATAATCGTTAAACGTGCTAATGATTTCTCGCGTGACGTACACGCGTGACGCACACGCGCGATTTCAGGCAACAAAGAAGAACCGATAGCACATCATTTGTTACAAGAAATTCGATTCGAAACGACGTTCAAAATGCGCTAACTCACATGTGCCTTCGCCATCGGTATCCACTCGCCAACAATAACCTGGATTAACCAACTTCCGCGAAGCCGTGGCCGGATATTTCCAACGCAATGGTTTGCTGCTCAGAGCCTCGTGATCGGATTCCGCTCGTCTGGTCTCGATGTTTACCGGACTCTGTCTCGAGCCGGCAGCCATCGGGAATTTTGTCACCCACGTGCTGGGTCCTGCGACAAAGGAAAAAAAATGTAAGAGAGTAAACCCTCGACACTGTTAAAGCAAGAGTAAAACCAAATTATCTGTTTCTTTCCTTTTTGATATCATCTGTAAATACAATATTTCACTGAAGAATGAAACACAGACTTCAGATTTGCAAGAATAAGATACTATTAATACTGTTTAGCGATGTGAGCTCGCTCAAACAAATTAAAGACCCGAAAGAGCTCGCTCACACGTGGCAAGTTATAAAACAAACTTTTAATCGTGCCACGTGCTGATAATTGATAAACGTTTGTTTTCAAAATTACGATCTATGATTTTGTTCTTTTATTTAATCCGTGCACATGTGAAAGATTGTACGTAATAAATATTTGCCACTTATGTGACGCAGCGACAAAATCTAATAAACAAAGTTTGAAGATAACAGACTTATAAACAATGTGAGAAATTCGCATGTTGAGACTTATATAATTTATCGTGTTTTGAATACACTTTTACACGCGCTTATAAATATTATTTAAAAAAAATAATAATCCCGGAGATGAACTGTGGTTATCTCCGGGTCTGAAGATTAATTTCGACGACACAGAGAGAAAGCTGATCAAGCATTTATATTATCCTTAAATAATCGCGCATTTTCTTATCAGCAACGTACGTCACGTGCCATTAATCTTTCTTTATCGAAGCACGTGATAACGATATTATTTGCTGTGTGTAATTAGATGCCAAACATATCGTGTCGTCTCGCGGCGTGCGAGCAATAAGAAGAAATACGAGAGTTGAAATTAATAATATCGCGATATTAATATTTTACGAAATTACACAAGAGACATCGATTTGCGTCAATCGATTCATGCGAAAAAACACGAGTCCTCGGTAACGCGCGTCGTCAGTTTCCACAATACGTTCAGCTCCGAAACGTGTTTACATATAACTATGACACGCAATAATGTAAATTACATAAAACAGTCCGAGACGCGCTCGACGAGCGTATAATATATATCATTCTTGACACGTGCTGCTACATATGTTGTCTTATCTCTTTGTCGAATACATAAGTTGGAATTGCAATCTATTGCGAACTTAAATTGATGATCGCGGCAAAACTGTTTTCGCGTAGTTAGTTATAACAATGCATAAAAAAACATTTTGTGAAAGAAACAATAATTATATATTTAAGTTCACATTTAGACATCGAAAAAACTCGAAATACAAAATTAATATTATTATTATATAAAATGTTATATTATTTATATAATTTTATATAACGTTATATGTAATAAATTAACATGTGGATTTAGAACGTATTCTCGACTGTAAATTATTTATTATTGAGTTTTCTCACAATTATATAAAAGTCACAAAAGACAGTTCTTTGCAAAATCGTTCATAAACTTGTTGGAAGTGTACTTGTTGCGCTAGCGAAGCGATTTAGTCATTCGTAAAGCGTAAGAGTGTTATAAATCTGTCTATGGCATTGAGATCGGCGTCACGTGAATTCCCATTGAAGGATAGCTGGTGACAAAGCAACACGCGGCAATAACCGCTTTTTTATCCGGTTGGAACTAGATCGAAAAACATTTCGTTAACTGTGTACGCGAAAAATCGCGATATTCGTCAGATATCTGATTGAGACGATTATCAACAGATTGTATACATACAACGAAATTATTCAATACAGAGATAAATCGGAGACATTTCTTCTGATATTTACCCAAAATGCTACATATATATGTGTACGTAAATAAAAAAAAAAAAACATTTTGCATCGGATATTCACGAAAATTACTCAGACTATTGTCATTTTGAGATTTACCGAAACTCATAAACTCAAAATATTAACGTAATATTATTATAATATTTTCCTTTTTAAATAGCAATATACATATAAATGTTAATTTGTTTTTTGCATTTTTAAATAATGCAGTAGGCATACTTTAATTCTAAGAAGGAAAAGAGACAAGAAACACGCCATTGGAATAAACAATTACGCTATGCAAACAAGTCGCGCGCGCGAGTTAAATTTCACTTGCGCGCATAAAAGGCGCGCACTCCTGAAACGACAGCCATCTGATTGTCAATGAACAATTTGCAAGTTAATCGTCTTCAACGCGAAAATGCAACTGACCGCGTAACGCACAATTTCACGCGCGAGAGGATTTCACGATTCTCTCTTATTCTGTTTGTGATTGTCGACTGAAGCTTTCGTTTTCTTCGGAATCGCTGACATTTCCACACATTCAATGCACAATATTTACAACGCAATAACGTACATACATTATTGGAAGATGTCTCTCGACATTTGCGGCTTGTGTTGCAGACGAGCGATACAATGCACATGTGATCGCGCGTGAAAAAACAATGCTTCTCGACAGAATAACGTACTGTGAACTTTTCATGAGTGACACGAAGAGTATGTTGTACACGTGTGGATTGAGCAATTCCAAATAAAAAAAAAAAAAAATCCTCCCGGGGATTACGTGGCTCGTAAAAAGAGCTCGTTTTGGAATTATAAAAGTTGCCGACTACGCGTTCACATGTTAACAGTTTGCGTTTCTCTCTCCCTTCAAAGAGAAGTTTTTTTATTCTTAACTTGGTGAGAGTAAATGAGCGTTTTCTATTTTTATCTTGGGATTCGATTGAAATCATATTTGCCTCGGCGACAACCTAAATCGATACAAAGTATATCACGATAGCGCGTGCCGTGTAGAAGTACGTAACACACGAATGGAGGCACAATCTTTTGCGTGTATGTGTGTGTGCGTGTGTAATCATTAAATTTTATTAATCTTTTAACAACTTGGTCTTGTACGTATTTTCAAAAAAAAAAAAAAACAATTGCTTTCACTTTGATTACAATTGCTTTGAAAATGCCGCTTTGCGACGAATTACACGATTATTTCAAATCAGAAAATTAATGTCGGAATTATGTTAACTAACAGATCTCTATTTACTTTCAATTTATCAGAAGCGCGATTAAAATCGAGAATTCTCGTTAGATAAACAGGCGGAACATACGAACAAGAAGACTGCTATTACGTAATGCCAACATTGTAATTTCGTGCGCATTACAACGTCGGCCTAAAAATCAGAATTCTAAATAAAATTATTTTTAGTTTCACTTACAATTTCTGCAATCAAAACTTAATACATAGAACCATAAAAAAAAACATTAATAAGGAAAGAAGTTCTTACTTTATTAAAATGAGTAGATATTATTGTATACATGATCTCACGCTTAAAGAAACTGCGCTCAGTTCTTCGATTCATCACGAATTGTAAACAAGATAAATAATCCCACGGAAAACACTTGGCTGCGGAACAGTAAGTCGCAATTACACGAGAGAGCATCGTGGGAACGCGAAAGATTCTTCCAAATAATTTATGACAGAATACATCGATCAATTTCAAGGAACGAGCGCCTCTTTTCCGGCATCGCGGCCAGGTTTGCGGCACGTTTCAAGTGCCAAATGACTTAATCATCCTTTTACAAGGTTTCGTCTGTGTCTCATGTTGGCAAGCGAACGGAGGATACATGCAAATCACGACACTCCGGTGCGCTCGCTCGCAGTCGCAATCGGCTGAAAGATAGCGCTGACAAATTGACTCGAGATTAAGGGCGTTTCGGGGGCATGCACGGCAACCCCGACGGCGGAACAAAGTGAAACTGGGTCTGCGACCACTTGCTTTTGTGTGCGTGTCGCTGCACGTGCACGACCACGTGTATACGTATGCGTGGGAGACTGCGGCCGCATGGTCCGTATATGTGTATTATATGTATGTGTGCGCGTGCCCTGTACTTTCCGCGGGAACAGGTGCATCGGCCTACAAGTACTACGGAAGAAAACTATTGATTTTCATTTACCCACGGAGTCGTGCCCCGTGTTCCACGAAGGCTGCGAGGAAAGCACCCCCGTCGCTTGGCACGGCCCGCTCGCCCTGTATTCCTGCGAGAAGACAATGGCCCCGGGTCAGTGAGCCTTTTGTGTCATTCGAAAGCTGAGTGCCGAAAAAGAACGTATGTACATTCGAACGGGACGAGAAACATAAGTCTCTCCTAGGAATTCTCACAATTTCTTTCTTTTTTTTTCTCTTCCCAAGAATTTGTTTCTATTTCTATATTCTATTATATACATATTTTACATACTTTCTATTCATTTTATTCGTTTACGTAACATTTACTGAAAAGGCACTTGTCTTGGTAACAAAACGATTTATAATGCACATTGTTCACATTTCTACGTTTACATCGTTAAAAGAAAATAAATTATTAATAAATAAACGATCTCGGATTCTTTAAATTTTTTTCTATATTTTGATTAAGTAATAATATACTTGTGAACAAATTAGTAAAGTTGATGATTGACACACTTGAAAAAGTTAATTGAAATATTTTGCTTTTAAGAATTTTTATTCTTATTATGATAATAAGATATTATTTGAAATATCAAATGTGCAAGATGAAATTAATATATGCGTAGAGGAAAACAAGCTCATATCGCGTGGTTGTTGCATCGCAGAATTTCAGCAAGATCTCAACTTGAACGAAGAAATCGAGAAGGATAAGAGGAAACACGTGTGGCGTTTCATATTTCTCTTTCTGTACAGCTGTAATATTATTTTTAACGCAGCCTAAGAAGCCTTGTGGCGCGACGAAATGAAAAAGTCGACAAGCTCGTTATGTCCAACTTTTTACTGTTAGATCAAGAAAGAGAAAACAATAATTTCTCACGGTCGTAGAAGTAAATGAAGAAAAAAAAACTGTGGCAATTAACAGATGTATTTTTCGGCCAATTAAAAATTTTAACTAATTACATGTACACAAAAGCACGCACACTTTTATGTTTGAAATAGTTCCAAAATATTCTCTATCATCGCGGTCTTTCTTTCTTTTAAATGGAACTTTTCACAAATTAATTCTGATTTATAAATGAAATTGGTTCACGCCCCGCCGCAGCGATCAATTCAATTAACTCTGGCGATAGAAGTTATCGCAAACATGTATACGCTGTATTTAATCTCAAACGGCGAAAGTGGTACTACTAGACCAGCGACCGCGTAGTAGCGATTGTAACATTTAAGCACAAAAATATCGCAGTTGTATGCATATTGATGATCGCGAATGCACGCCGATTGACAAAGTAGCCAATCAATAACAACGACGCGCGCTTATCCGATGTGAATCGTACGGAGAAAACACGGCCGAATATTAAATGATGACGGACGGGAAATGGACAGGAAATTTGATGAATTGCGCAAGCAATTGCTCCGGAAATTAAATCGTTCAAACTTTTTCTAACGATTGTTTCTTTTTTCTTTTTTTTTTGTTTCACAATTTTGTACTTAAACAGTCATAAAAGAGAAAATGTACGTATGTATGTATTTTCACAATCGACACAAATTTGTACAAACCTCGAACGCACTCGACCAACGCAAGTTATGCAACACGCAGAATTGCAAATTCAAGCTTATTCATAAAATTAACACCGTTTATATAGTGGCGCAACTTAGTAAAACTTAGTTATTTAGAACACTTACCGTTCTGATAATAATCCCACACGTCTTTCGAACCCATCGCGAGCACAGGCGATCTATGAAAAATTGAGATCTGCGAAGTTGAGATCCGAGTAGAGTTTGCACCCGCTCGTTTTGTCTGATTACGCCGAACTTGCGTTAAAGTGAGTCTCTAAAACTTGCGCGTTTCCCGCAATTACCGGTTAATGCGACGTCTTAAAAATTTCATAGACGCGGTCTTTTTGCCGCGGTCGTCCAACCGGTTGACCGAGTCTTCAAGGGAGATAAAAAGAAGAAAACGAGACACGATCGTGTTCTCTTCTCTTCTTCGCGTCAAGCAAAAGCGCCTGTTCTGGAAACGGAGGCGCGAAGAGAACAATTTCTTGTTAAGATTTATTGCGAGAGCGTGTTGTTTTTTTTTTTTTACCGCGCGACCCACGTGCTCACGCAACGCTTCTCTGGACAACACTGTCGAGTGCTGCCGAGTTTTCTTGCGATCCTTGTTTCTTCTCTACGATCCCCAGAAACCGGTAAGCTACACGCGTTCACTTCTTCGGCCGTAATATCGGCCGGTTCGTTGGTGGCGCTTTATATTGCGCGCGATCACGTGACAACCAGGAGTGGCCAGCCGCGCATGCGCCGGTAAATATTTACACGTGCGCGATTCCCCACCATGCGCGTCGTGCGTTGCGCGTGTAGCGGCGCGTTCACGTGTCGATGCGCGACGCGCTCGATCGATGATCGATTAGCGAGAGAACTCTGATCTTTCCGATTTGAATAAAAGATCTTCAGAGATGTCTAATAAAATCTGATAATCATACGCATATTTGTTCATCGGATCGGTGCCACGAAGAAAAACTTCGAAAACTTTCAATTACAGATGGAAAAATCTTTTTGACGAAATTGTCACATCTCATCGCACAACCGAGTATGTATGAAATTAACCATTATATTGGTTATATTTATACTTGACAACGTTACAGATAAGAATTAGTTAATGAATTCTTTCATCGCTACGAAGATAAGATTAGATTTTGAATCACTCTTTCACACACACGCATACATACACACGTATCGAAATGAAAGATGTTTATCTTTCTTTCGTGTTAGCAACCACTAAGCGATTCAGTCGCTCACGAAGCACGTACACATCTCTTTCTCATTATCGTTTAATATATATCGTCTTGAACAATTTACTTCTTGTTCGTTTACAAGAGAAAACGTACGCGTTAATATACGTATATATTTTACAGCCACTTAAAACTCGTTGCTTTTATACTATTTTAATGCAAAAATTTCAATCTTGTCCACGTTACAAGGTGATAAGAAATGTATTCATTCTTTCGCGTTACGCAACAAAAAACTGTGCATATTTTAGAATAGAATGAACGTACAGTGTGAAACAAAAGAAAATCGTATTTGTATTATCTGGTTTCGAAAAATGTTATGTAACACCGATTTGCAAATTAACGATTTTTGTCTGTAATTTTAATCAAAAAAAGGTGATTTTTATAGATTTTGACGTGTGCCTAACCTGATTTCAGAATTTTACTATCCTTACAGAAATTTTTAATACCAATGTGATATTAAACAAAATTTATTTTTTGAATATTAAAAATTGAAGTGTTTTTAATTCTCAAAGTAAGTATTATTTTGGATATTAAATTTCTGCAAAGATATCATTAGAATTTAAAGATAAAATAAAGTAGAACAATCTCGGAAGTAAATATCTTAAGAATTTAAAGATAAACTAAAATAGAATAATCTTGGAAGTAAATATTTTATCTACATATCTCACGCCTAGAAAAGCCCGAAGTCGCTATTCTTCAAATACTCACTCAGTAACAAAATAATGTGATAAACAAAAAAAACAGAGAGGAATTCATCTTTCAAAGGAAAAACCTAGTACTTTACGATAATGAAGGTAAATTGCGTATAAAGATTATCGTGACTGCCTGGAAATTACCCAATAGAATATTTAACGAAATCGAATCGAATAGCTATTGATCAAAAGCCTTCGACTGGACACGTGATCCGATGAAGATTAATCTTCATCGCGTGACTCCGCTCGCACAATTGTTTGACATACTGATGACAGCGAGATGTGAGCTCCTTAGCTGGAGAGAGATCCTTGAAGGATTATATTTAACACACACGAATGATGCAGAAATGCAAGCGTATATTATATAAAAACGCATGGTATCCTAAAATGGTTTATTAATTCTTTTTTCTACTTGCCTACGAACAGTGATACGGTCTTTATGTAACACTCTGTATATATATATATATATATATATATATATACACACACAGATATATATATATATATATACCTATGTATATTACTAATTCGATATATGTTTTTTCTCTCCATTTATCATCGACAAGCGATATATCGTTACATGGTCTCAAAATAATCGCGCGTGCGCACAATTATTTCGTTTCTTGAAGCGCTTGCTCAACCCCCGACGCTTTTCGCGTTTTTCTCTTACTTTTTTTTCATCTTTTGAGATATGTCATTTAGCGAACTTATAAAACATAAGTGTCAACGGTCTCGTTATTAGCGCGGAGAAGCATGTGTTACATGAAAAAACTTACCCGCTCCGCGTTTCGCGTCAACGCAAACTTTCTCACCGGTATGTGTATATATATATATCGAAGCGTATGTATACTTATAGCGAATAAAAATAATCTGAAAATTCCAGTCAATATATGTTATTCTTAGGTGTATATATTTATATTTATATTTATATTTATATATAGCTATGTATACAACGTGTTCGTACGGGCTACGCGAAATAGCTCTTTTTCTCCCACTTTTCTCTTATTTCTCTCTAATGGAACTTTTTATATTTCGTGCTTACCATTAGTCCGATTTCTCAGAAAGCGGCCGAAAGTCACGTCAATTTCACAAAATTCGTCTTCACTCCATCTCTTTTTACACAGTTACAAAATACTTTCGATCCTTTCTTACATACAGGCCAGGAAAAAGTCACCGCTGTCAAATGTGCTCTTTGTGAAGTACATTTTCTTCAAAGTGTCTTCTTACGCATTTTTTTTTTTTTTTTTTGGTTTTTTAATTTTTCTATTTTATATAAGTACCGTATGCCTGTGTGTCTTGTACACAGTATTATTTTCATAGTAACGTAATAATTGTAGCGCTTAAAGAATTGCGTGGAGCAATGATATGATTAGAAGCATGATATGAATTGTGCTTGTTTACCGCAGATCACCAAACGGAACATAAAAATTCTTGTGTTTTATACCGACTGTTTATAACGCATCGCGTTGTGTAAAATTATCATCGATCCCCACCAACTTTATCAGTATAAGAAAGTTATTTTTTTCGTTTAGTAATTTGCATGTGTGATAGAATCTTTTGGATGAAACAATCAGGATTTGACATGCTGGTGATACATACACGTGTTTTGATTTGTAAAATTGACACACTGATTTGTAGATCTGCTAAATTTAATATCCGCGCTATTTATATGTTTTTTTACGTGTATTATTTTGTAAAAAGTGTATACACACACAAAGGAATATCAGAATTAAAAGAATATATATCTCACTTCACGAGATAATATAATTTGTTATATTCAACTTTTAAATGTAATATGTAGATTATAATATAAGTACATTATAAAAATAATAAAATAACATTTATCTCTTGTAATTTACTACATAAATTGTCATAAAGCAATTGAGAGATACACAAACAGCATATTATTTTATTAAAAAAACCAAATATTTTTGTTTTTGTTTAAAATTCTGCGATAAACAAGATCCATGCAATAAAGGATATTTACAAGGAAAGTTCATGACTTGCGACTCTCTGATTTTTCTCATTTTTGATGAACTCTACGAGATTGAACTGTACATGTTTTTAATAAAACAATTGCGCTTTCTCTTGTAATTAAAAGACAAATTTATATTATTAAAAACGGTTGTTTATATTTTATCTTTACTTATAAATTGATTCTAAAATTTTTTACACGTTTAATCAAAAATAAAAAAATTCTATACGTCGCATCACGAGCTCTTCTTGCCTCTGTCGTTAGGGACATATACTTACATTCTCTACGATATAAAGACAATGTGTATGTGTGTGTAAAGTATTATGTATATATATATATATATATATATTATATTATATTATATTATATTGTTATTCATAGCTTGCATACGAAACATTTTCTCTTGTCATCATTTTACATACAAATTAATTGTCAGCATTCACACCAACACATATAGGCGCGCCTAACAAATTCGTCGATCCGTTCATCGACCGTTGACAAAAACCGCAGTCGACAAACGGAATCAAATTCGGAACACGCACACGAATTTCCTTCGTTTCTCGTATATTTCCTTGCAAAAAATATCAGGAAACTGTCGAGGTATTGAAAAAACAGCTGCATACGTGCCTGGTACCCATACCCCGCACTCTTTCGCCGCACCGGATATACGAACAATGTAGTAGTGTCCCGCAACAACACGATTAAAAAATTACAAAAATTATTATTAAAAAAATGCGCTCTAAAGAGTGCGAGTCACGTTTTTTCTTTTTTTTTTTTCGTTAATTACAAATACGTTCTTATTATACTTTATCCCTTTCTCTTTTTTTTTAAATAGTAATTATTTTTGGCTTGGTAACTATGTAAAGTCTAAATTAAATTAATAGTCTCGTTTCTTATGTACGTGCGCATTAGTAGTATTTTTCTCGTCCTGAGTTAACTTTTCGATGCTAACTCGTACGCGTTCAATATGAATGTGAATCCGAGGAATAAAAAAATTTATTGTGCGAATTCACATGTATATATGTACGTATAAAATATATGCACATATATATACGTGAAACCGTGTAAAAGCGTGTAAACTTGTGCGTAGAACAGAAATGTGGGTCTCCCTTTTTTTTTTGAATATAGTAAAAAGTAAATACCAAATGGTTGATTGGTCTGGCAGTAATGTTTTTTTTACGCTGTTTCTAAATAACTGCAGACTGGTATCTATCGAACGGCAATTAGTTACATTACATATTTATATATATTTATATTTGTATATCTATAATATAATATTATCATTAGTTTCCCTTATCTGAGATAAATTATCTGCACGGCCTACAGTGCCAATGGAAGCATTTGCTGTCACTTTGCAACGGCATTGCATGAGATGTGTCACACAATCGTTTTTTTGTTTTGTTTTCAAATAATATTTCAAAAACATTGTTTTTTTTTTGTAATTTTCTTCAATATTATTCTTTTCTTATATTATAAAGACTCGCCAAGTGAGCTTACACTCAGTTTATCAGTTTATTCGTCAGTAATTCCGTTTCGTTATTCGAAATATTCTAAATAGAGGATTTTTGAAAAAAGAAACAATTATAGGGAGAAAAAGAATATATATGTTACACATACATTATATATCTGAAAATTTCCCTCTCACATATTCGGCTCGCTTGGCGATAAATCGTGGCGTTTTGTCATTCTGGCAGTGTTATAAGCTGTAAGGTACATCATATCAATGTACTTCGTTAAGTCCGTCCTTTTTTAGTGTATCTGGTAGTAAACAGTAGTTGAAATAAATCCGTAGAACCGCAGTTAATAATTATACACGTACGCGCGTGTTGTTATTCACAGTCGGATACCCTTATTGCTTAATAAATGGCACTGCTTATTGAAATATTTATTTATGAGTATCGTTGCTGTCTCGAATACTACAGAGTCGAATAAAGTACGTCCTTTTTTTTTTTTATTTTTTTTTTTTTTTATCCTATCGCTGTCTCGGTTCTACAACGATCTAAACTAAATTCGCGTATCGAGTTTGGAACAGTTGATCGTTCTCTATAATTGCATTCTTTACGAAAGGCAACACGTGATTTGTATTCCCATACTTCCTAGAAAAGTCGTTTCTTTTTTTTTTGTCGCGTGAAATATAGATGATCGAGAAAGAGAAAATGTCATTCATGAATATATAAGTTTGTGTTGAAGTCTTGTGACTTGAAGTCCATTTTTTTTGAATACATTACCGATTAAATCGCTAATAATAAGACGTGCCGGTATTCATACACATATGTATGTAAAATAAGTAAAATTCGAAATTTGAAGAAAGATGGTTCTCACGGAAGTTCTTCCATTCACACTTCGCAAAACAGTATATTGTCATACCGGATGAATGGAAGAGCTTTCTTTCAAACATCGCTATAAAAGCTCAGAGTCCCACGATTATCATCGTCATTATCGCCAATTCGAGATTGTTTTTTATAAGTGATTTGGTTTTGTTTGTGTACTGGTGAATCTCCGAGCATTGCTAGCATGTATTTGCGTGTAGGCGAGTGGACTGTATTTTGTTAGGGAGGCACATAAGGGGGCGGTTTTCTGTACGTCGGAGTTGGTTTGGGACGATTTTGTCGATTGGTGTCGCGATTCGTAGCGAACGGCGGCGGTGGTTGGTACGGTTCCTCGGAGTTTTCTTTCGGCAGCATCGGTATGTCGGCACCGTCTTCGGCTTTCTGATACTCCGGCGGTGGTAGTGGTGGTTTTTCCTCTTTTAAAATAACAGGCGATTTGTTTCCTGGAAAAAAAAAAAAAAACTCGCGATGTGACGGAAAGAAATCTGGAATATCGAACTAGTACATTTTTACTAATGTATTGCAAAAGTATCGTTACCGGGATCCGGCTTTTCGTCCAGTTCGTCTTGGAAAATTACGGGAATTCCTTTGCTTCGGAAACTTTGACGCTCGTCGTCTTGTTCGCTGACGCTCATTTTCCCACTACGTCTTCGTCTGTGTAGCACGCAAGCGACAATACCAGCCAATATAAGCATGGCGGCTATAATGATAGCTGGCAGAACGAAGGTGAGAAGATAATCGTCATGAAATGTGCCAACAGTTTTGGAATCATCCACCGGTGGAATATGACTGTCCGGTGAGTGAATGCCCGTTAATTCACCAAGACAAATTCCCGTTGGAATCACCGTGATTTGTTTCACAGGAAATTTCGTGCCCATCACTTCTAGCACCTCGTCCGTCACGGAACGTCTATCGTTCTCGCTCTTCACGAGCACGGACCGCAATCTGTTGATCTCCTCGTGAGCGCAATACGACTCGGGCAAGGTTCTGTTGTACCATGTGATGACAGTACTTCCGTTCGTGATGCTGTGCAACGAAATGGAGCTCGTGTCTCTGTCTCCGTAGAGATCACGCAGCTTCTCGACGAAATTACGCTTCTGAAGAGCGGAGTGCGCGAAGGAATCATACGGAATATCAAGCGTCATTGAGAACTCTACTGTGTGTTTCATCGATTTTGCCGGGTGAACGACAACGACTAGTCCATCTGTAGCGCTCGCACCTACAATAAAAGTGTTTTTAAACATTTAAATGTCATCGTATAAATATCGTTTTTCTTTTTCTAAATAAAACTTTATAACATCTCACCTTCTTTGTCAGTGGCTACCAACTGATATTCTTTGCGGCCAACATCGTTGTCCATTGGCACGCCGTAAAATTCTTGATTTTTGCTGTCGAACTGCAACCATTCGTGAGATGCAATAGGTGTTCGATCGATTGTCAAAAGCGACATCTTCATGTTACGCGAAGATCCATCCTCAGAATCAAAGAACGTATCCTGCAAAAATAAGAAAAATGATGAGCATTACATGTTCCAAAATTATTTTATATTAATTAAATACAAAACGCACTTACCTCTGGCACTTTAAATACGAGCAACTGTCCGACTGTTGCATTGACGATATCGACTTGATTTCTCGGTATCGGTGGCCGATTAATTTTCGGTTCTTCAGTAGAGACTTTTGGTATCTCGGGACGATTCATATCTTCGCATTGTCCAATACCGTGATATGTAACGCGCTTGACTCTGATTTCTGGAGCGAGAATTGCTCTTAAACTGTGTGATGGGTCCCCATCACTGTTGACGAGTACCTGATGACATTGTTCGTCGTTGTTTAAGTACAAAAGTCATTTCACAAAATGAAGACGATTTTAATGAATTATTTTCTTACGCGCAATAATCTGTTGATATGTTCTTTTGGACACTCGCTGCTTCTTGGAAGACTATCGTTAGTCCACATGAAAATGACCTGTTCGCGATCTTGCGTATTGATGGCACGAACTGTGATTTTGTCTGTGTCTCTGTCACCATAAAGTACAGCCAGACTTCGAATTACCTGTAATCGACCGAAGAATTAGAAATTTTACAGAAAATAAAACTGACAAATACGCACCTTCAATTCCCAATCAACATCCGTCGGGAATTGTTTGTCGATTCTCAAATTCATGCTGAATTCATGATTAACGCTACGGCTGGATTTGTGTTGCTGAACATGAATGTCAAGACTGTCGGTGACGTTAGCGCCGTCGCTGTCAGTAGCCACCAATACGTAATTCCAGGTTGATATGTCGTTTTCAAGCGGCCTGTTGCAAAAATATTTGATAAAAAAAAAATTATCTATTTCATTCAAAAAATAATCGCAAAGAAACATTGTTCTTACAGTCCGTAAACTTCTTGAGTACGTTGATTGAACTGAAGCCAGTGATTTGTCTTGAGTGGTGCATCTTCCAAATACAAGCTCAGCTTCAGATTCCTTGTATCACCGTCTTCAAGATCAGAGAAGGTGTTGACTGGTATGACATAACTCAACGTTTTACCAGCAGTCACGGCTATTTTTTTTAATCTCTTGTCACGTCTCGGCGGGAAGTTAGTCTGGCCGTATTCAATACTTTCAGTAACCTGAGATGTTGTGATCGTCGTCGGAGCTGGAGTAGTAGTAGTGGTAGTGGTAGTGGTAGTGGTAGTGGAAGCTGGTGTAGTGGTGGTTGTTGTAGTGGTTGTGGTATTAATCAACGGTGTCGTGCTCAACGTCGTGCGAAGATCGGATGTTGACGATATCGCGCTTGTTGTAGTTGTATCATTCGCTGCGATTACAGGCGTGAGGAAAACGGTATTCGTTACTGCAGGCGAAATGGTAGTGTTAACGTCTACGACAACGTTCGATGTTGGTACAGTTGTTGGTTCTCTCATCAAAGTTGTGCTTTGATCCGGCTAGGTGAGAATAAAGATTTTGCGTATCAAAACATAGAACGATCATCGCAGCAAAAAACTTGAGAAATAGAAAGAGAAATTTTTTTGTACAGTTACAGAAATGTGTAAGCCGCTATTAACTCGTCTTGTTAACAACAGACGAGACGTTCTTATCAATAAAATAACATTAAATTTATCTCGATGAAGCAACAGAAGGACAACTCGGCACGATATACGTATGAGGAAGTTGGTGTGTACAGCGGCGTGAACTATTATACAAATGAGAAAAGCGCTAAAGCACGTAAGCATTACCTCTTCCGTCGTAACGTTAATTGTACCGGCGACAATCTCCGTCTCAATTCTGTCGGATTCGCTAGTCTGGGTGGCCGCTGTGCTAAAAGGTGGTAAGGTGGTTATGGGAAGAGAAGTCGTGGTAATGTCTGAAGGAACAATGGTCGGTAAAATGGTAATGGGTTCGACGTGTTCCACATGTTTCGCTTTCTCCGTCGACGTCTCCTCATCCGTAACCTCCGATCTCGGGGATTCTATCGATGGAGCTACAGCGGTGGTGAGACTACTTGTTGTTGTTGTTGTTGTTGTTGTTGTTATATCGGCTGATGTGGTAGTCGTTGTGGTGCTACTAGTAGTAGTTACAGTCGTTGGCGCGGCTTGAGTGGTGGTTGTAGTTGTCGTCGTGGGAGTAGTAGAGGTGCTTGTAGTTGTTGATGGTGGTGGTGATGTAAGTTCAGTAGTTGTCTGCGAAATCGTTAGTAGTTGCGATGTATGGCACGAGAAACGAGTGGTTAGTTACGTTCAATAGGGACGAAAATGTACAAGTAGAGAAACGAGGTATCAGGCTTTCGTTTGCGAGGATTTTTCGCGACGCAATCTGTACAGCACATTCTTTACAACGTGTAGGATCTTTACGGACATATACAATTTGCGAAAATGAAATAGGCCAGCATGACAATTATATCCCAGTACCTATTCTAAACTTTTGCGATTCCCCCGTAAGCGATATGGCGTGGCGAATGAAGAGCACAGAAATATAAGAATTTCAACGAATACCGCAATAGGGTCGTGATATTCCGAAGATAAATGGTCGATTAAACGAAAAGAATCACGCAGCTGCGTTTTATTTTTCTTGAAAAAAAATACTTACCGTAGACGAAGTTGTTTTATTCTCTAATTCGCTTTGACTCATTCTCGGTACTATCTCTTTCTCGTCAAAGTTTTCCTTCTAAAAAACAAACAAAAACAACGCAGACATACAGATTATTTTATTCGTACTCATTCTTTTCTCGAGCAAGACTTATTAAAAATTCTTGCCGCATAACTCACGTTCCAATTAATCGTCTCTTCTCCGTGATGATGTCTGTGCGGATGTTCTGGCATGAAAGTCGGTTGCACTTGCTCGTTGTTGTCGTCGGTTTCTTCGTCTTCCTCATCGTCGTAATTTTCTTCATATTCGTCGTAACCATAATCGTCATCTACATCGCCCCAATCGCCGGAACCAGTTTCTCGCCTATTCCTTAAAACGGGATTCGAGTCTGTTTTCACGTGCCATGATATCACAGGTAACTGCAGAACTTCTGCCAGTGTACCATCCTTCGCTTGTTCCCGCAACTGCTTCACCAATTGTTCCTGGTACTTCCACAAGTGATCCTCACACCCGACCTGCGTATATGGATAGGTCCAATTTTCTTCTTACAAGACTCGCGAAATTAAAATCATCATCGAAATCTCTGTCTCTTTCTCACCTGCCACTGGATAGAAGTCACGTGATTGTCTTTGTATTTGTGATGCCTGGCGTTCCCAGGCCCGCTCAGAAACCAAGAAGCACTCGTAGCATCCTTAACGTTATGAGAATGCATCGAAAACGCGCTCTAAAGAATACACGAAGATAAATTATTGCGCGATACAGTCACGCAGAGAAATTATAAACACTGCAACGATTAAATACCGTGTGCATTCCGAGAAATCCCGCGAGATTTTCGATGGCATCCACTCTGACGTTGGGCGACAGTTGCTCCAGTCGCGCATTCAACAAAATCGTGAGAATCGTTTGCTCCTCTCCGTCGTCGCAATGAGTCTAAAATTGAAATCGTTCTATTTCCACCAGTTGCGCTTTTATTCAAAGCCGGCAGCACGCGAAATTTCAAAAGATCGAGGTCGTCCAACTAAATAGCTATCGCCGCGATATGTGCAATTCTCAAACTAACTGTGTGCATCATGCGACGCATGTGTACACAGTAATATCAATTGGCGTCAATCAGTTCGCGTCTGCGTAATTTCTTTATGACATTTAAACACACATCGCGGCGATGCGATTGCAATACACACTGTGTTTCGACAGATTTATGTCGCCGCGCCACAGAAACTGTTCTAAATTCCGCCACGCGCATTTATCAAACGTGTTTTTTATTCCGCGCGACTAAATTACGAGCTCAGATATTTTTCGCTCGCGCTCGTAAGTCAAACACCGCGTTTTTTTCGATTTCATTTCATCACAACGTCGCAAAAGTCACGCACCAGAATCTCGATTGCACGGAAATATCCCTTGTCGGTAGATTTCAAGCATGGTTTTTTTTTTTTACAAAATACATGTTACACACAAAAGTTCGTCTTATCTACGTTTCTATCTATGAGTTAGGCCATCTATTAGTGAATGGAAGACACGTAGCGGCGGAGACCTGTTGTTCGACTTGGATAAGAAACTTGAAACGATGCCAGCGGAACGTTTTCGCTGCTAACGATTCTCTCACGTTGTTCGCGTTCTCGTTACGGAAGGGGTTAACGTTTTCGCGCTACACACAACTCACCCCGCCGTCCTTGTGTTTCACTTCCTCCTGTTTCTCGGGTATAACTTCCACGACGAACTGATCCCTCGCGGTATCGCCGTGCTTGCCGACGGCCGTGATGCTCAAATGATAAGTGCCCACGTCTTTTTTCGACGGAACACCCATGAGAGTGAACGCCGCGTCGTCCCAGTGCATCCATCGCGGAAAACGAGCGTGACTAACGGCCTCTTGAATCTACAAGATAATAATTTTGGCGCGTACTTTTATAATAATATAATTCTCTCTTTGCTATTTATACCGCAAAGATAACTATTCGCGCGTGGTTCTTTCTTCCTTACTTTTTTTCTATTTTTTTTATTGGTGTCGTTGACCATGGGAACTTTTAAATCGGCTTCACACGAATGGAACAAGCGCGCCCGTATCTCGAATAATTTCGAGGACAAAGGGAAGACTAGAGCCATTCAACCTAAGAAGGATTTCCGGTCGTGAGATTTCACTGAGCTGCGGGGAGCAAATTGAATCGCAAATATGGATTCAACAAGAGACGTCGTCGGTAGAGCTCGAGAGAGAGAAGAAAATGACAGATGTGAGTACAAGCGAATCAATAGCGCTCAAGAGCAGCGGACACCGGGGAGGAGAAAAGGGGGCAGGTGATACTTGACGGTATTACGATAAGTACGAAGATGCCGGAGACGCTTTTAAAAGTCGACCCAAGTTTCGGATGTGACTTAATGTTTTGTACGAATATAGGTAAGTGGGTAATATAATACAGTGTGCTTCAGCGAAGCTCAGAGAGAAAGCGTTTTGTGATTTTTCTCATAAAAATTTTTTGTATAAAACGTTTTCAAGACAAATGCAATTCGATCATTTTTTTAGAAATTTTCCACGCGGTTGTACTCGATTGAGAATATTCTTTCCCGTGTGTGTCTACCGATTCGAAAGTGAAAATTAATGGAAAACCTGTCCACAGGAGAGAAACTTGAGATAAAATCCGAATGAGTTGCGACGTATCTTTTTCATCAGGAAATTGTGCTCTTACATAATGCAAGAAACTACTACGGCGAGAAAATCTTGCGATTGGTCTCGGAGACCGAAGATCTGGAAAAACGAGATGTGAGTCGTTCGGACTTACCTCGTAAAAATCGACGTTTCCCGAAAAAGCCTGGCGCGGTATTTTCATCTTAAAAACGTGGCCAATCGGGACGACGGCGTCCGGAACACCCCATGCTCTCTCGACGCGAGAAGAGTGTCTCCATCCGTTTCTGGATCCGTGCTCGTGATCGGACCGACCGCGACTCGTGTGATGATTCAACAGACTGGGGCCGGCGGGCATCTTGTCGTTGTCGTTCTCCTCGCCGGCATCGTCGAAGACCAAGTCGTCTTCCTGCAGGCTGAGGCCTAATATCACAGGCAGCAGGAAGAGGACGCACGCGAGGATGTGAGGATGCTTCTTCATGTTTCGGGGGAATTCTCAGCCAGTGGTATCATACCATACTGCTACTCCTGCAACAGGTCGAGTCACGTTCGTTTTATCGCCACTGCCGAGATAACGATCGAACGCGTGCCGTAAGAATTAAAACGATTAATTGCGATGTGAGGTTTCGATGGTTGAAATGAGGACACGTGCTAACTTATATAAAAGACGATCGAACGCGGATTCGGGATTTTATATTTATTCGTCGGAAGAGAGACCGAATGTATGACTCTATAATAATCTAATATATAATACCCGCTCTCGTTTTCGTTTTTTTTGGTGAAATGTCCACTATTATTTTATTTTCAAACTTATTTGCTTTTAAGTTTTATTAAAACTGAAAAGTTGTGATATTTTTCCAAGCACTTGTTTTTTTACAATAGAACAAATGTGAAGAATTTAAGAAGAGATGTGACATACAACATGATCAAACGTAATCGAGTGAAATTATATTAAAGCACACATTCGCATGATCAATGAGCCAGACAGCAGCTGATAAATTGTTGCTATTTGTGCCATGTGTCTGGCCGATGAGTCTGGTTCAGCTGTGAGATCAATGGAACATTTTCGTCAGTCACAGGAACGAGAAGCGAACGCGCATGCACCCCCCCAATAATACACAATAATAAATGCCAATAAAACGCTTTCTATTTTTATTTTCCTTTATTGCTCGTTTTTCGTCGAGCACACAGTTTCATTAATTGGACGCGCGGTCGCGGACAATGAGGAGCCGACAGTTAAGCCAACATCACCGCGCTTGTTTTGCTCTTTCGCAAACTAACAAACTGTTAAACCAGGAGGGGGATTCGGTTTCATCGAAACGCCAATATTCCTCTCTCGCTCTAAGCACACACGATATTTCGATCACGAACGACTCATTCGTTTTCAGTTTGACGATAACATCTGTCGAAAATGTTTCACGATTCCGGAATAATTCACGCGCAATCGCGCGTCGCGATCGATTTCTTTCCAATTGCGTCATCGTGTCGCGAAACAAATCGGGCGCGAATTAATCGAACAACGAGCACCATCCTGCGAATCCAATCGCGCGAAGAAACTGCGCTTTGCGTCGCTCTCGCGTATCACCTGATATTTTCGAAACATTTCTCGAAATTGGATCGTTACGATAATGACAGCGAGATTGCGAGTTTAACGCGCGTATTCTCGCAACATCTGTGCGAACCGATGTCGCGGAACAAATCGAAACGTGAGAGTTGTATTTTTAGCATCCAATAAACCCCCACGGGAAATTGAAATCAAAGTTTAATGAAGGATCGTCGAGTCGTATTTCTTGCTCTCCTCGAAGATACGAACGAGGTGATTGCAACGACGTCGATTTCAAGAACTCGGAGAACGTGCGCGCGGTCACGCTCGATCTGAACGCGGCGCTCGGTCACGTTCCATATGAGTTGGGTCGCGGATTAATCGCGCTGATGAAAACGAGGACAATGCGATACGCTAGACCCATCTCCGGGCGACTGCGAAGACGGTCAACGGACCGCGAAGGCTAACTCGGGTGGGTGTAGACAATTGAGTTTATGCCCCGGGACATTTACATGTGTTCTCACACGAAGCTGGATATAGCAATGAACTCATTATACAACTTGCGGGAAAAACGACTGTTATGACACACACACACACACATACACATCTTTGTATAAACATAGTATTCACGTCATAATTTTATAATAATTTTCAAAAGTTTGCTCCACTAAATTGAACAGTGAATTCGCTAAGCTGTTCCGCGTATGTGACAATGAATTATTTATTTAACAACCCGACTTTTTCTTCATAGTCGCGCGCATCCGAAGGAACAGCCGTGACACGAATATCGAGTCGTCACGATGATGTCACACGACGTGTCACGATTTTTTTAGAGGACAACGCGACGGCGTGAACACCGACGCGTATAACCTTACGCGATTGTAGATTGGAAATTACGCGATGAGCAAACAAACAGTTCTAATGTTCGCGAAATGTGAGAACACACATTCATTCACAATCGAGATTTCAGAACGATATCGCTCTCTCGCACGCGTCCGTATCATCCTCGCTTCCGTCGCAAATTTCACTCCTCCGCCCCCGCGAGCCGGCCATAATACAATTTCACAGCCGCAATACCAACGTGGAATAACAGGGAGCGAGTATTTATCAAAGCTTAACGATCGAATATCGCCACGTCGATTGTTCCGATTGTCGACGACGAGCTCTGTGATTGTCCAGCGAGTGCGCGATGTAATTTCCGTTTCTCTTTCTCTCTCTCTCTCTCTCTCTGGCACTTCTGAGAGTAAATGCTCGGGTTAGAGAGCACACAATATTGAAATAAAAGAAAATTACACATAGTTTATTTTCTCTTTTCTTTTCTCTCTTTTTCTCTTTAATCATGTTCCGCGGAAAAGTCAAATTATTGTAATTACTCTTTTTATCTCCCAATTCGATAAAAACGAGTACGTATAAATAACAAAACCCGTAATAAAACCTGCATGAAAAAACATCGTTCGATATACAACGCTCTCTTCGCGCATACCTTGACATTCGAACACACGCGCATCCCGTCTCTTCGCTTAATCGTTCCTCCATTCACGCAGTAGTTTATCGCGCTAGCATCGTGCGCGCTCGAGACCTTGCCTCGAGTCGTTGCGGCACAGAGGGTGTACAGTGCGGAGCACCATATCGTGCGCCGTGAGGAGAAGTAGTTCTCCTCCAGCTGCCTCCTACTAGCACGCGCCAGCGACCCGAGATTTAATCCATATGTACCGGCACGGTTACCGATGACACATACCGACGCGGTTACCAATAATACNATAAATTATTAAAGTCATTTTCAATGCAGTTACTCTTTTCAATGTTTGCGATAATTTTATGGTACCATATGGCTGTCGGTATTATTGGTAACCGCGTCGGTATGTGTCATCGGTAACCGTGCCGGTACATATGGATTAAATCTCAGGTCGCTGGCGCGTGCTAGTAGGAGGCAGCCGGAGGAGAACTACTTCTCCTCACGGCGCACGATATGGTGCTCCGCACTGTACACTCAGGTGCGCGTCGCCGTTGCTGGGAGACACGAGAGGAATACAAAAACAGCTGGTCGTGTCCGACTGACTCGTAGTTGCCGAACGGAAGCGCATAAGGGAATAAATCGATACGCACACACACGCGCGCGGTTCTTCACGGTCTCGGGAATGCAGTGACGATCAGCGTGAAAAATCGCACATCGAATATCGCGCCTTTCGTTGAGAGGCAACTGAATGCGCACGTGTCGATTTGACCGTAACAACAAGTTCACCGTAAATCTACGACCTTTCACGGTAATCGAAGCGACATGTCCACGACGTAACATTTTCTTGAAAAAGAAAAAAAAGCGAAGTATTTTAAATAGCGCGATAATCCATTTTACCGTTAAAGTTCATTCATAAGATTGTCGTTAAGTTCATTGATAGCATCATCGCACGTAATTTTTCTTCTTCTTGAAAACTGCTCGAGGCATCTTTCGAGTCGGTGACCTTATAAGTAGATTAATCGATATCATCCTACGCAAGTAACGCCGGAGTAATGACGGAAATGGAAACGTGAATATTCTGAGCAAATAAGAGAAGCCGGTCACCTTTTGCAAAAAACAAAATGATACGGAAAGCATTCCAGAGAATGTTTTAACGTGGACAAAAGCAAAGTAACAATGCGATAACAATTGTGTGTTACGTATTCCCATGTATATTACTTTTTTTTCTTTTTTTTTACTGAGACCGATACACACACTATGAAAAGTCCAAAAAACACAGAGAACTTTGCAGCTTACTTTACGTCGACAATTATTCTAGAAATTTAAACAATGATCGCGTCGCGTCTGTGTATCGAGACTGAAATAAAATAAAATAATAATAATAAAAAAAAAAAAAAAAAAAAAAAAAAAAAAAAAAAAAAAAAAAAAAACCGTCAGAAACGTCGTATCATCTCTGTTGTCTTGTGATTTAAATTTAAAGCGACACTGCGGCACCGCTACTACGTTGAATTTTCTTTCTTTCTTGCCTCGGATTCTCCATGGTATCTCTCGAACGAACGTTAAATCGAAAAAAAATTCTTCTTCGCCACCGCACAGGTATCGCCGTGAGAAAAAACCAGTCTGAAACTCTCTTCCATAGAGAGAGAAAGAGAGAGAGAGAGAGAGAGAGAGAAAGAAGAAATCTTTGATTTTTCTGCAAATGAGAACTTATCCGCAATAATAATAGACGCTATAAAAATTATCGACGAGAATATTGACGACGGCCTTGCTCAGCGCGGAATAATGGTATGCGAGAAGAGCATCGATATGCTCACAGTAGCGGGCGTTCTAATTATAGATATCGTATCACACATCCGTTAGCAACACACTATACGTTGCGTAATGCCTTAACATCGTCATGAGCCGGCGCGATTCGATTTCGTATCAATGTAATACACACAGTGCGTAATGATATTTCTCAAATATCTCTCTGTTCTTCTCTTTCTCTTCAAGAAATTCGCGTCGCAAAATGATAATAACATTGACTAGAGAGAGAAGGAGAGACTTACTCTTCTAAACGAGTTTCGGGAATCTCGAGTTTCGTCGTGATAACCGCTTTTCGTGTCTCTCGTGTACACAAGCGGCAACGTTTACACAGCCTTTATTCTACTACCAGATGCTGCCGCCGCCGCTGCTGCTGCTGCGGTGGTCTCAGAAATAGGAGCAAAAGACGCCTTTACGTCTCTCCCTCCTTTGACTCGATGTTGAAAACAACATCCTGTTTTAGTGTTAACCACGTGCTGAAAAGTCCTAACTACAATGTTGCGTGAATCAACACGCGCTTATTTCAGAAAAATCACTCGTGCAAAATAAGCTTAGTTTATTATAGAAAAAGAGAGAGAGAGAGAGGGAGAAACTAATGGAAATTATCATAATATACGATAAAAATGTACATTCTTCCTCATTACTTCATGCGTGCGATTCCACGGCGCGTATATATCATTTAAGCGCGTCCAGAAAACGGGCATGTACCCTGTTACCTGTGCGCAG